AAGGAAGGACGAGATGGGGGACCGTTCGGTTATCCGATGGCCTTGACGCGCCTCTTAGAAGGTATCTACGATGAGCCAAACGGCGATGAGATGCTTGTAGCTGATATCGAAGCTCGTCTTACTCAAGTTCCTCAAGGAGACCCCAAAGATCACGAGGTTTGGAAGCGCTCGGTCGCATCCTGCTGCTTCGACGAGCTCAGCTTCATCAGCAAAGGGCTGTAGCTGGCGTCATGCCATTTAGACAAAGGCTTGCACAGCCGAAAGACAGCAGTAGAGGAAAGAGGCAGCTGCAGGATAGTGCCCCGTCTAGTCTGTGTCTGTGTTCAGTACCATCCATGTGGGCAAGCGGCAAGAAGCGATGCCTGGTTGGCCGCCCGAGTTCCACAAGACATACTCGTAGCGAGGTAGCGGGCCTGGCACAACCAAACTCTGCACGTGGGACGCCAGGATCAGAATACGCCTGCAGCACACATCTGCGGCCGCATTGTTCAAACGCGCAGCGGGAGAGTTGTTGAAAATGAAGGGGGCGCAGGCGGCATCCGTGACTGCCCGAACGCCGGGATCCGGTCCGGTCTTCTCATCGCCGTTCCGAAAGTGCTGAGTGCAGGTGGCATGGACGAGGCCCTTGCATCTGATCTGCACCACTTCCGATCGAGATACCCTTTCGACGACGATGTTGCTCGGCCTGGACACATCGAGATGTGATTGAGGCCTGCAACTAAAGCTATCAAGGCCGAAAGAACTGCCTGCAAAGGCATACAACTATATCGTGAATTCCAGCATTGAGGCCGGTTGCGCATGGTCAGACAGTCCAATTCTTGGAAGTTGTCTCGTGCAGCACCTGAAAACCAAACACTTCAGAGCTCCTGAGCTGCGGGACGGAGATGTGAGATGCAGACACGATTGATCGACAATTTGGTGGGGTCCTGCCAGACACGACGTCTATTCTTGCAAGCAAGGTTCAGCATGAAGTCTTGCGTGACTTCAAGCCCAGGCAGGAGGGTGAGGAGGACGGCTGGCACAACCATCCATGTCCACTTTCGTTGCTGGAACGGCAATTTAGCTGTTGCAGGACTACTCCGCGCTGATCATGGGATTTACCAAGAAGCGGCGGCAGAAATCTGGCTGCTGTGGGCAGTGGGCAGAGACAACCAGAAGGGCAGATGTCAGTCAAGCCAAGGTCTGTGAAAGAACGACAGCTGAACAGCTTTTCGGGGGCACCGGCCTTTTTCATGTCCCTTTCCCGGCATTGTTTTCAGATTTTCCACGCCTCGCCCAGGCGGCCCAGGCCTACTTCTATGAGCCTTCGTTCAATGAACAAGATGTGTCTCTGACTGAAGCAGAGCTGCAGGCGCAGACTCTACCCGCATTCCTCAGAGCCACTACTTGTCGTGTCACCAATCATTGCAGGTTCAGGGATGACTGGGTGCTCCTGGCTGGGTACAAATTAACAGCACCCTCAATCTTATCCTTAAGGCCGACTGTCAACAAGTAGTGGATTTTCGAGTGCCCCTGGTTGTTTCCTCCCGTCACCTAATGCAGGAGGCCGAAAATCGAAGCCACCTTATTTCGCTTTCTGTTGGTGTATTTGACTGTCACTGCCCGCAGGCCTTCAGGGACAGATATCCATTCGACGAGGACACAGTGCTCGACTGCTTCAGCAAGACTCTGGAGGGTGTGATTTCGATACTTGTTGCTGGGAGGCGTGTTCGCGAAGCATGCTTAATAACTCTTTGCGGAGTTCGGTACTAGTTGTAACCCGAGTTGGTATGCAGCATCTTGACAAATTCTAGCTGTTGCGACTGTTTCCCACCATAGTTGCTTCATAGCACTTGAAGCCTTTCATTCTGATTTTATAGCTTGCGGCTGTTTTGGAGGGAGGGAGGGAACACACAGTCCCCAAAATTGTTCTGCAACCAATAGCAACCAGTGGACTCCACACCAGCCGCCAGCCGCTGCAGCAACGGACATGCGCTTTGCATTTTGGCATGGCTTTCGGTGCAGCGTCGCCTTCAAAACCACATCCGGCTAGCTTTTGGCCCCAGCAGACGGCATCATGCACGCTTCCAGCAGACAAGGCAATTAGAAGGCTCGAGAAGGTCAATAATTTGTTTGGAACGCTCACATTCCTACAACACTTCGCGGCGACGGAGCATTCACCACCTATGCAGAAAAGGGCAGAGAGACCCGAGACCTGCCGAGAAGATCCTGACCGAAGGGTACAACGGGCCACGGACCCCGACGACAGCAAAGCATGTCGAGCCCATGTCACGAAAGCTGGCCTCCGACGGCTAGCAGAGTTGCCTACCCAAAAGCTTTGGCTTCCGGAGGGGTGTGGTTGGCGAATGAGCCTCGAGGGTACGGAGGGGCAAAGCGGCTCGATTTCGTGCAGCACCCGAGTGTTTAACCGAATGCAACTAAGAAGCATTTAAGGGAGAAGCGAGGAGGCAATGCTGTGCAGACCAGGTGACTGCATAGGATCTCAGCAAATGAGCGCATCGTCTCTGCATTTGTGAAGTGTTGGACTGTTTTGTAGTGCTACCTCCTGGCCACTCTCTGCATGAAACATGATATCTGGCCTCCATAGCTTTCCAGGGTGGCTGCACCGGCTTTCGTCCCAGTCCCGCCCCCCAAGTTTGTTCACAGGCCGAGCGGCAAGAGGGCAGCTTTGGGTGCAGGATGGGGCATGTCTGTGGCTTCGGTGGCTGTGACAACCTTATATTCACCTCTGCTCGGAAGCCTTGAACGAAGCACTACGATCAATGTTGTGTAATCAACTTTAGACATTGTTTGGGCCAGGATGTTGAATGTCTATGCTGCCTACGTCGGTACTCTATGAAAAAGTTGTAGGTTTCTGCATGCAGACAGGACATCAGAGTTTTCATAAGCATTGTACGAAACTTAGAGCTTTCCGGAGCTTGCGGAGGTTGCCGTTTTCCACTTCACCTAAGCCGAAGTGGTCCAGGTCGAAATTAAATTGTGTCCAGCACCTTGGCTAGTCGTTTCACAAAGGGAGGGGCGACCAGGACCAAGGGTCTCGGGGATGAGGCCGAGATGCGCGTGAAAGTTCGGGGTGGGTGCACGACAGCCACACACTCCCAGCAGCTCCCACACCGCTTAGGTGAACAAGGCATCCACTCCCCAATCAATGCCTTCGAAACCACAAGGGGGAGGTTCCGGGCGCAGGTCCGACCTGCTCGGACTCATTCCCCAGGGAAGGAAGAGAGATCCTTGGAACTGTGGTGTGCAGTCTAACCGGAAAGTTGAGAAGCTCAGCCCACAGAGTGACAGACACCTTTCGCGCGTACAACCGTGCACTCCTCCAACAGACGGGCTGCTTCCGCGGGGGCATGCCCTCAAGCCTGGGGAAAGAAAGAGATCCTGCCAAGGACGGCAAGCGCGCGCCCGCGCGCGAGGTTCCAGGGCTGGATGCTCCTTTTGTCACGATGTTCACCGAGCGCAATTGCACAGACGGTAACCGTCCACCTGTCTTGAGGACGCCCACCGGTACATTGTCTCGTCACCGCCTCATGTCCAAAGAGAAATACTTCGCACATTCAAGCCTCCGAGGGAGGGCGAAGAGGACTGCTGTTCCGCAGCATGAATGATAGAGACGGACACGAGTGAACTGTTTTTTAGATACTCTCAGGACTACTCTGCCTTGGTCATTAGCTTCGCGAAGCGGTGTCGCAACGTCAGGGGCAAAGATTGCCGTACACCGGCAATCACTTTTCGTTTTTCGTGCATGTAGTCAACAGTTGAAAGCCCTGAGGAGCAAGGTAGGCTTGCCGTTGGTCCGGGCATTGTTCAATGTGAGTGGAGTTCTTCTTGTCAGAACGTGTTGTTGCAGTCTTTTAGATTTGCCGAGTTCGTAGGCGACGTGGATTCTCGACCCCATTGCATAAGACGGGGATCTTGCACCCATGAAGACCGACAGCCTAGCCTTAGACAATCATGCGCTAGCACGGGTTTCGGCATTTGCATTGTGAGGCGGTTCCTTCGTTGGATCTGTCGACCAGCCGTGGGCCAAGCGGTGCGGCTGGCATGCTTTGTACAGTTTGTCCATCCAATGGTTCAATGTCATTGCGAAACCGCCAGGGCGAGAGTACGAAGCGTTTCGTGACCGGTACCCTTTCGACGATGACACACACAACTACTTGCTCCTTTGCCCGCATTTGGCTTCTTTGGTTGAGTCTTTGGTCCCATACCGGACCATCAATGAGCATGTCTTCCTGCCAGTGCCATAAAACTGCTTGCTCAGATCTGGCAAAACTTAGGCAGAGCTCGCCTCCTGAAGTGCGAAGACAGGTGTTACAGAGCTTTAAGCCTCCACGGGAAGGCGAAGCAGACTATTCTGCATTGCTGATCAGTTTTTGCAAGAAGATCCGGGATCAGCGACTGCCACAACTGGGCAGAGGCTTCCAGGTGCCCCGAAGTCTGTCAGCACCTGGATACCAACCGCCTCGACAGCAACCACCTTGGCACCAACCACACCAACCACCTCCGCCACCTCCGCCACCTCGGTTCAGAGGAGCACGTGCCTCGCATGTGGATGGCTTCCAACGGTCCAGCGATGAGAGCGCCCTGCGCATGTTCAGACAAAGATATCCGATGGACGACCGGGCTTTCGACTTTTTGAAGTCTGCTCAACCTTGGGTGCAGCAAGAAGTGCTGGAGAACTTTGCTCCCCAGCGTCTGGATTCAGACTACTCTGCGTTGGTTATAGCGTTTGCGAAGAAATGCCGTGAGAGAGACCAAGCAGGTGGCTTGGACACAAAACGACCACGGTTAGCGTATTGACGCGTTCGACGCGTTGATGTGCGCGACTCTCCAAGAAAGCTCCGGCCTGCATAAAGACGAGTGCTACAACGACATGACATGCAGCAGTCCGAAGTTAATGTGCACCCCTAATAAAACCTTCTGCCTGAACGGAAAATGATGAATTGAGAATTATAGATAGGGAGTTGCACAGATGAAGATGGAGTTTATGAGATTATGCTGTTCATTGCATGCCGGAACACTGTCCCGGAAGTGGCTGTACCTGGTACCGTCACCGGCTCTCAGCAACTCCGGAGGTCTGCTGTATAATCCTGCAGCCACCGTTTCAAAAACGCAGAGTCAGCAATGCCGCAGGGAGGCCACACTGCCAGTCATTGCATCCAAGACTCGTGGGTTCGGTCACAGAGGGTGGTTCAGTGCCCTTCAGCTTCAGATCGGGTACC